AAGAAACTGAAGATGAGGTCACACAGCTAATAAGTGACTAGGCCTGGTTATATGTCTGATGGTTTTTATTCTAGCTTTGTCTTTATTAAGCTTCCCAGCCATGGAAAATAGCCACAGCAATGCCACAGTTCTTGAAAATCCAGTGTTGAAATAAAATCTGAGAAAAGAAAATATTTATAACTGAACTTTGTATTGAGTAGCCTATTTCTTTATCCTACTTACCATGTTATTGCTGACCTTCTAATTGGTTATTTTGGAATAGTGTCCTAATATTTTCCATATATTTTATAACATGTGATTCACAGAAGGTGCCATGTTAGTTGAGATTAGAAGGAAAAGCCTTAAAATCACATCCTCAAGCAATTTTCATTGTCTAGCTCAATGGCTCTGGAGTTGAATCTTAAAACCATTTCAATTCTTCTTCCCTAAAGCCCTTGTCAATTAAAAATGTTAAGCTAGTGCTTTCATCATTCTAAATGTCATTGCTTTGTATTATGACCTATGGCACATGTTGAAACTGGTGTAACACCCAAATTTTCCCTCTCCAACTCTCCTAGCAACTAATGATGGCATTAGTCTCTTGATGGGCATGCCACACACCTCCTCCATCTGCTGACAGAAAAATTGTCCAGGCTTTGCAAAGCACTTTTGAAGGGTAGCAAAAAAACTGTAGGAACAAACAACCATCCCATCCCAGAGAATAATCAGGGCAGCCTCAATCCCTAACACTAGGTCAAAACTTGTCATAGAAAATAGGCTCTGGATTTTGAGTCTTTTTGACAGAAATTGGAGTGAAATATTGGGGCATGCTTTTGTAACTTCTCACTTACTCCCCTTCCTACCTCCTCTTCCTTCCTTAACAATCTAGATTTAATTTTGATTAGTTTGCCTGTGTCTTAGTCTCATAAGGGAAGGACAAATTATGTGGTCTGGGATGATGTAAAATTCCCTGAATGGATTGGACAATATAAAATCATGAGTAGTACATATAGAAGGAAAAAAGGGCTGGGGAGAAACCCACAAAAGACTATATAGGGTAGAGAAGTAATATGGGGCAAACTATTATCCAGCAAGGTGCTTTTGCCTTAATAGAACTTTTCTGACCTTGTTTCTTATAGAACTCTCACAACTCTTTCAACTCTCCAGAATTCATACCTGCACTATATTGCTTTTCATGAGTCTTTGTCTAGCCCTCTGGACTGATCATCTCTGTGAAATTCTTTGACATTGGTGTAGGATTCTACTTCTGCTTTTAGATCATAGTTTGGACTACCTTCATTTTCTCAGGTGTATTCCCTCATAGACTCAGAGGATTTCATATTTAGAAAGGATCTCAGAGATAATCTTATACCACCCACACCCAAAATGTGAATAGCATTCAAAATATCATCATTTGGTGATGATTTTTATAGGCTTCCAGTAAGGGGAAACTCACTAACTTCTATGTACTTTTGAACAGTTCTAATTGCTAGATGCTCATAAACTTGAATGGTAAAAAATTGCAACTTGATTTTTATTAACTTCTAATTGAAATTTGACATTTCCTTCAATTATTTAAAAACATTGAGAAGGGGTCTATGGGATTCACCTGGGCCATGGCACTAGAAAGTATAAGAACTTTTATTATAGATAGTGATATCTTCTGGATGTTCCTATTCATGAATGATACGGTTTTGATTGAATCAAAAACCAGAAGATTATAGGGTCTCCATTGGGTAGTAAAAAGAGTATTGGCCTTTAAGCCAGAAGAACCTAGATTTAAATCCTGCCTCTAAAACAAGCTGTGTGACCCTGGGCAAATAATTTTATTCTCTCTGAGCTATATTTGCTCATATGTAAAATGAAATTAATGATAATACCTTAAAGGGTCCTTGTGAGAATCAAATGAGATTACATATACATATGTTTATGTGTGTATGTATGCATATATGTATATGTGTATATATATGTATATGTATATATATATATGTATATGTATATATATATATATATATATACAGTTATTTGAGAATGACAAAGTGGTATATAAATAGATGTTATTATTAGTATTAATACTATTATCCAAGATCATTCAAAAGAAATTAGCCATAAATCCATATTGGATTGGAAGAAAATAAATGAATGAATGGAAAGGGGTGTGCCCCTGGAGACTTCAGCAAAAGTGAAAGTTTACTGAGGCTAAAAGACTGAGACTTTTGGAAGGTAATGCAAAATAGACATTTCCCATCCTAGAAAGGTTAGGTGGCTTGCATATCTCAATTGCTTGTGAAGAGGACAGCAAGACAATGAACATGTATCCAGGCATAGCCTGTATTCACAAAGCAGTCCCTAGCCCCTCATCTACCATAAGATTCCCAAATAGTATGATTGGGGGGAAAAAAGACTACTTACCCTAAGAGAATATGGAATAGTTTATGGAGAAAGGAGTCTTTTGAGTAAGGAAGAATTTTTCAAAGAGTCAAGTCTCCTCCAATCTCTTGCTGGAGGTGTCAAGCCTCAGAGGACAGTACCCCCTAGCCTGGCCAGTGATTTAAAGACAGAAAATGATTGCCCAGGAGACCAACAGATCAATGTATCAACACAGAGCCAAGCCATCTTCTTTGCTCATCCAGGTAGCTTCTGCCCAGCCTGGTCTAGCAGGGTTGGAGCTTTGGTCAGAAGCCGATACAGCCACTGAGTGATCTGATCAGCTTTGTGTAGCAGCAGATTGGCCCATTCAGTAGAGACATAATGCCCTAGGTGGAACTAGCTCAGATGAACTACCAGTCCAGCAGAGACACTGTCCCCTGTGAATCCAGTTTAACTGAATAGCAGAGTGACTTGTAGCAAACATTGTGAGGACCCTCTAGCAAGAGACAGGACATCCAGGTCCTACAGTTTGGGAATTATACATTGCCTTGGCATTGTGGGTCCCCTATCCATATGCTTCATTACCATTCTACTTTGGATTCCTGCCCACTCTGACATGCTTTTGGAACCTGGATGTATTTATGGGAAAAAATGCCCTTGGTGCTGGGTGAAGTGATTTGTAATTACCATTCTTACTATGCCATTTGATTGCATAACTATGCTACAGAATTGAATTTATCAGCTGATTGCTAAGGGGAGACACACTGGTGGGGGCTCATGAGCTAGTATTTGGGAGAATAACCACCAAAAAAGGATTACCATTAGAATCCTGAAAGTAGTAACTGCCACCCCTCTGGGGACCCAATTGTCCAGTGGTTGTATGAGTTGAGCAAGGGAAGTCAGAGGGAGTATTAAAGGAACATTTCCTTTTGTTGAGACTTTAAGATGCAGTTGGATGACTAGACTATCAAGTTAGAGCATAAGTAAAGAAATATGGGTTAGGCACTGCATATAGACAGTGAATTGAGCTCAGAGAAAAATAGGAGGGAGAGAACAATTTGAATTGCATCTGGGAAATCACACAATGCTTTTACTGATCCCAAGTTTCTCCTTAGCACAACAATTCATCTTTCTGACATAAATGTCCAGTGGTGCTGTATAGTTATGAATCTTGGAACACCACAATATTTAAAGAATCAGTTTCAGGTGACCCAAAGAACAATGAAGAGATGTACTGTAGACATGACTCAGTTGAAACATATTTTCAGTGATGACTACATGCAAAAGGTGGCCTAACTGTCATTTTTCTTGAATGGAGTGTGTTGATCTATTTCCCTATGGCCCCATAAATCATAGCTGTAACTTTCTGGGCCAGAGTGTCCCTCCCTGGCTACTGCTCCTGACTCCTATGTCAGTTGTTCTTTCCATCAAACATGCTACCTCCCCAGGGTACATATGAAATCATTAACTATATCTCTGCCACAATGAACAAAGCAGATTGGAAAACTGATTGGAAAGGAGGCTGAAAGCAGAAGCTTATATTTGTACATTGTATGAGCTAAAGAAGTACCTATCTATTTATGACCATGTAGCTTGTCTTCTTATCTTCCAAATTATGAACCAAAAGGGCTCACTTGAACCTGCGATGATCTGAAAATGATCTCTTCATGAAGGACTTCCTAATTTGATGTGTCTAGGTTTGCAGGATTTCTGTCTCTATGTCATCAAACTCATTTCTCTTTCTCCTTGAAGGAAAATGACTCTTAGTTAAGTGGTCTATCTTGAATGGACTTTCTGGTGTAGCAGCTCCCATTGTTTTCTTTACTATTGTCTTTCCCTTCTCCTAGGGAGAAAGGAGATGGATGGAGAAATAGGGGTGCATGTTTTTGACAGCCGGGAATGCATGGGCTTCTTTTTTCCCTTTCCTTCCGCATGCTTGAGCAAGGTACTTCCCTTTCCCATTTGTCCCTGAATGGCGGATGAGCTATACCAAGACCGAGAAGGGGGAGGGGGATAGGAAGGTTCGAGGAAAATAAGAACAGGATATTCTCTCCTTTAATTCCTTTCTTTTCCTCTTTCATCTCCCTTCCTTCGTGGAATTGCCAGTGAGACCTCATGACCTGTACCCCCTACAGGATGCTCTTTAACTACAGACAAGAATCCTTGACTATCTTTTCTTCTCTCCATCCCAGTAACCAAGTCTTCTTTCATCTCTGGTATCCTATCTTCAAGCTTTTAGGCCACTCGCAGGCAACAGGCAAGAGAATGAATTTCTTGGGTTTGAAAAACATCCTTTTTTTTCTCTTTGAAGTTGCGGCCCTTACTCCCAAGACGGTTTATGAGAGGGAAGTCAGCAGAGCCCCCAAGAGGTCGCTGGTGGCGCAGTAACCAAGATCAGAGAGAAGAGAAGGGGGAAAGGAAGGGGATGGGGTGGGGGTGGGGGGACTAACAACAACAACAAAACCCAAACCCGAGAAACTTTCTTCCTACTAGCGGAAAAACCACGTCCCCCCTCCCCTGCTCCAAGGCAGTAATGTGACACCGAAACGAAGCCTTGAGACACAAGCTGAGAGAGGAGAGAGGGCGAGAAGGGAGAGGAGGGGAGGTGGAAGAGGAGGAGGAGGAGGAGGAGGAGGAGGAGGAGAAGGAAAACCCCTGTCAAAGGAGGTGGAGCGAGGGAGATGGTGTCCGCCTCCTGTTCTTCCCTGCCGTTCTTCAGAGGAGCCTGAACGGGGACAAAACACGCTGAACTCGACACAAAGCAGGGGGGCACCCACTGGCGCTGGCGCTAGAGGCGAGCCCTGGGGGCTGGGGCTGGGGATAGGAGTCAGCGGGCCAGGGAGCAGAGCGACCCGGCCAGAAAAGACGATCTGGAACTCGGCGCCCAGGACGGAGCGGAGGAGCCTCGGCAGGAAGGCAGCAGCGCCCCGGAGCCTGAGTGTGCAGGGACACTTTTGGCAGGGAAGGCGGCGGCGGCCGCGGCAGCAGCGATGGAGAGGAAAGTCTCCTGAGTAGCACCAGCAAACTTCAGCGGTTCCCTAGCTTCCCTGGCCTCCCTCCTTCAGTGCTTCCCTCCCCGTGCGCCTTGTCCTGTCTTTCCCCATGTGCAGCCTCCCAGCCGAAGCTCTCCTCTTCGCAGGCGGATGGGTGACCCTTTCCTGGCAGGGGCAGGCTGTTTGAGGCGGCGGAGCAGGCGATGAAGAAGAAGCAGCAGCAGCAGCACCACAGCAGCACCGACCCCTGGACCCATGTGGCCCCCCAGGGGGGAGCCCCTCCCGGGCCGGGCAGCTGGAAACGCCCCGGCTCCTTGCTGCCTTTCCTGCGCTTCTCCCTCCGGGATTACGGTTTCTGCATGGCCACCCTTTTCGTCTTCTGCCTGGGATCCCTCTTCTATCAGCTCAACGGGGGACCCCCTCGCTTCCTGCTCGACCTGCGGCAGTACTTGGGTAAGGAAGGGGAGAGGGGGCACTGGATTGAGAAAGTTAGAAAGAGAAAGGAAGGGGACTGTGAATGGGGTGCAACAGGGATGACTGCCCCTTCTCCTAACTCTTACACCCCTCCTTCTAAAGCTCGCCAGGTGTGAAAACCAAAGAGCATCAATATGCCATAGCAACCGGCCCTGGGACTTCCTCTTCTGCAGCTGTTCCTCCCTGAGGGTGAGAAGGGTGGAGGTGGTTTGGGTTGACTGTGCCGGGTAGGAGGGAGGGAGTAGTGAACAGCGAACCCTTCCCCACCCACAAACTGGAGCGCAGGCAGTGTGTTCGTGGCCAGGTTGTGCAGAGGAAGGAGGGTGGATTCCGCCTTCACATTGTTTGGATCTAGTGAGTGAGTGTGTGTGTGTGTGTGTGTGTGTGTGTGTGTGTGTGTGTGTGTGTGTGTCAAGCCCACTCTCTGCTGTCTAGTTTGCGCGTTCTCTGCATTTCAGTCTCACTGCCTACCCTCCGTCCCCACCCCGCCCTCAGTCACCCCCCACCCAGCCGGGCTGTGTGAATGCAGTTTACAGGTTGGATTCCAGTCCTTGTTCAGCTGCGGTTGCAATTTACCGCCGCCGGGTCTTGCTCTCGCACTGTTTGGACATCCTTCTCCTTCCCATCAGCTAATTTGACAGGCTAAAACTGACAACGCCTGGGGTGCATTTTTATTTTACTTCATTATATTATTTTTAGGGCTTCCAGAGGACGTAGCCCCCGGCCAATAGAGCGTGAGTCTGCTTCGTCAGTTGCAGCTTTGACTTTGTTTTGTCCTGGATCATTTTCACTATGTCACAAGACAATTTTTTGGTCGTTTTAAGAGCAGCCTTGGTCCATGAGGAAAAAGATTTCTGAAAAAGGAAAAGAGCTTTTTTTTTTTTAAATAGTGTGTTTGCCCTCGCAGCTTCCTTCCACAGGCTCAGCCTCCCACGCTGCGCCTTTGCCCAGTCCTGCCTTCTCTTGTCAGTTTGTCGGGGACGGTTCAGTGCTCCAGTGGTGCTCAATTCTTCCCCTGGACTGGTGCAAGGGAGGAATGTGAGTCTCTAGTAAAGTATGTGGCCAGAGGAGGTTGGGCTGAGGGGAGGAGGAAGCTGTGAGAGCTCTAGCTTCTAGTAAACTCAGGACAGTGATAAATCCGAGCAAAGCAAGACATTCAGTGTGATGACTGATGGTCTGGGGAAACATAATGGGAAAGCCTAAGCAAAAATCTGACCTGAAGTAACCAAAATGTCCTAGCTGACTTAACTTCCTTGGTTACCCTCTACTCCCCGTTTCCACTTCCTTTACATTCATTCTGAGTAAAAGGAACACGTATAGAGCAGAGTCCTGTTTGGGAAGGGAGGAGGGGAAACAAAATAACCAGCCGGATATTAGGTACATCATTTTACTAACCATTCATTGTAGCCCATTACTAAATATAATGAAAGAGAAATGTTGAATGTCTTGCTTATGGAAATTCATATTGTAAAAAACTGCTGTTCTTTCGGTAAGAACACCATGATAATGAGGTGCCTTTAAAGTGTTTAGGGCAGCTTCATAGACAGCTGTGCAGCTAGGATTCCATATTACATTCTTGATTAGCAACCCCATAAAAGTATGGAGGAACTAGGAGTGTTACCTCAGGTCCGAGATAAATCTCAGTTAATTCCGAGTTTTAAGTTCTAGTTTTGAAAAGCTTTGGGGATTCCAGTTTGCTCCTATCCAGTCCTTTTATCAACAATCACTGCTAAGCTCGCTAAAATGGTGAAGTGTTGTTGAGCCTTAAAGGTCTTTCTCCCAAGAATTTGGTAAAAGATGAGTAAGGATGGAAATTTAAAGAAAAGTAAAACTCTATTAAAGAGAATGTGAAGGAAGAGTACTGAACTTTGAGTCAAGGGACTTCCAGTCCTGTCTCTGCCATCATGAACTAGTTATGTAGCATAGCCAAATTATTTAACTTCTCTGCTCCTCAGTGGTTTCACCTGTTAAATGAAGACTTGGCACCAGATGACTTCTCCTAGAGACTCTTTCAGGCCCCAAATTTCATTATTTTGACTCAAGATCAAGAACCATTGTAACTGCAGAAATCCTTCTACAGCAAAAAAGTGCTTATGAGAATAAAGTAAAATTGACATATGACATGAAATGCTGACAGCTATTATTTTGTAGCAACAATATCTTTTTTAAGTTTTGTTTTTATTTTATGGACTAAAACAAGCATTTCCATTATGTAGTACAATAAAGATGCTTGTAGCAAAATTGCAAATCTATGCACATCCTGCTATTCCATTCAAATATACAACAAAATTATCATGTAAATATTTTAACAACGTCTTTCAATATGTGAAGGAATTAAATCTGAAACTGGGGTGGTTAGTAGGAATTAGTTGGGAGTAGTTAGTAGGAACAATTGAATTGGGCAAAGTGAATTGACAACAGTATTATTCACCCAAAAGATTAGGAATCCTACGGTGCAGATTGGTGTTGTAATTTGCTAACTTATAATTAAGTTTCCAATTTAGGAGGGGGAGAAAAAAAACTGATACTGACAGGGACCACAACAATATATCTTGAGCCAAATTTATTCAGCGTTATTGTAAATATGACTTAACACATAATAAAGTGATTAGAGGGAAATATGAATTTGTGGTTTTCAAGAGCTCCAAAAATATACCCAAATGATTACAATATGACCTCTTAAATCATGGCTCCTCCATTACATCATTTCAGAGTCTGAGTTTTTTGTTGTTGTTGTTGTTATTGTTCCATAAAACCAAAATTTGTAGTTGGCAAATGTTGTCTCAGTTTCTCCAGTTGGACAATTTCTGGGCAGATACCTTTCTCTATTGTTAGTTGGGGTGCAATTTATTTTATTTTTGGGGGTGGCTAGGCAATGAGGTTAAGTGACTTGCAGAGGGTCACACAGCTAGTAAGTGTCAAATGTTTGAGGTTGGATTTGAACTCAGGTCCTCCTGACTCCAAGGCCAGCACCTCTATGCACTGTGCTACCCAGCTGCCTCACAATTTATTTTTTTTCCCATTAAATGATGTTTCATTTCAACTACCTTACCTGATAGGATGTTTATTTAAAAATATCCCATAGTATTATAGTAAGATTATTACCAATACTACTATTTCTTATAATAATGCTTTTTATTGATGCTAGTTATTTTTGTGTTTCATTTATTTCAAAATATATTATTCCTCTTTACTTAACCAGCAAGACTTTCCTTGCAACAAAGATTTTAAAAAGGAGGAAGACAATTCAGCAAAGCCAACCAATACTCAGACCATATCTGATACTATGTTCAATGTCTTAAACTCGGAGACCTCTAGCTCTGCAATGAAGAGGGAATGGTGCATAGTATACAGTTCTCTTTAGGGCCAAATTTGGTCATCTAATAATGTTTCTAATAATGAATATTGGTTGAACTCTGATTCTCTGCTTCATTCGGCTACCTTTCTTCATCTTTGAGATGTCTCCCCCTGTTTACTAAAATTATCTAAATCCCTTGACAGTTTTTCTTTGGCAATTTCTCATTAGAGAGAAAAAACATACTTTGAGGAAGGTTTCACTCATATCCAAGAAAACAGAAAAAAAAATGAAGGAAAGAGAGGAGGAGAGGGAGCTAATTTTTAAGATTGTGCTCAAATTTACATTTGTGATCATGGGCAAATCATCTAATCTGTGACTTTTTGTTTTGTTTGTTTTAATCTGTAAAATGGGGATAGTAATGTTCCACCTCCCAGGGTTTCTAGAGAAACAAATGGAATAATAGAGTGACGGTACAGGTGAAAAATATAAAGGTATATGTAAAGATCAAATAAGATAATGTATGTATATTTTCTCTGAATAGAAGTACTTTATTTTTATTATCATTTCAAGCATCAGGTTTCAGACTTCAGAATATTTGGTCCAAGGGAGGAAGGATTAGGTTTCTCCCCATTGCAGATGTCCCACAGGTAAGGAGAGGCATTGAAAAACAAAGATGACAATTCTACACCTTTCCCTGCTGTCCTATCCTTTACCCCCTCCCTTCCCCAGGGCAAGTAGAAGGGAAGGAAAGCTAGAGGGAGACTGCGTGCAAGGCACTAGGTGTTGAAGGAGGATAAAGGGGGAGGCAGTAAAGTACTAACAAGTTTCTTTCCCTCTACCCCAGCCAGTAGCTGTCTAGGCAAGATCTTTTTTTTTTTTTAATACAGTTTTCTTAAAGAAGTTTCTGTTGGCAGCATTTGCTGTTGCAAAGTAGAAAAGAGCTTGGGAGGAACATACAGAGAAAATTCTTTTTGACAGTCTTTCCCCAAATAGGAGAGGGAAGGCACATCTATGAAGTATATGGTAAATGTAGCACATAGAAAGGATTTAAACATATTGATAAGAAACCACAAATGAAGTTTCCTCCAGAATGGTTTATGATGTCTCAGTCTTTTTGCTGCTAGCTTTATTATGCATGAGCTACAAAAATGTAAAAATCTTTGTGTAAGATTCATTATATTGAAATAAGTATAGTTAGCCAGATGGCTTACTACTGATTTTAGATGACTGGCATGCTTTAACTATCATCATGCTTTAGATGCCTAATTTGCCTTTCTGTAAATTAAATTTGTTTTTACTGAATGCAGTTGATGTGTCAAAATTACATATTTTCTTTTTAATTCTTTAATGTGAACTATCTAAAACGGAAAGCTTACCGTTAAGCTCATAACATTACCGTATTTTTGTTCATATAAAAAAACTGACCTAATTATTATTGTGGCAGCGACAATGTTGAGTCAAACCAATTACATTTTTTAAAAAACATACCTTAAATGATATCATTAAATTGGCAAGATTCGAACACCCAAGTTTTGTTTAAAGGAAAATGCACAAATATAGACGTCAGGCTTTATTAGAAAATATTTGTCCATATCTCCAAATCCAGATTCTTAGATCATAGAACTTTAGAATTGTGAGCAAGCTTAAATATTATCTAGTAACCCTACACACACACACACACACACACACACACACACCACCATTTTACAGCTGAGGAAAAAGGGATCCAGAGAATAGGCATAATCTTTTGAAGGCCACACACTGTTGATTTCTCCAGTTTTCTTTTCACTACACCCACACGGTTTTTAATGGAGTGCTTTGGAGACCAAAGAGTAATCTAGGTAATAAAGGGCA